CAAATTGATGATAATGATGGATTGATTGTATCAATCAGTGTTAACATTGAGTCATGATTTCATGATTCAACGTGGTCAGTAGCTGTTAGTGTGTCAAACAGGTTTGGTTCAGATACTACAGATTACACTAACATTACTAATGATAAAAGTAATTATTATATTGAATTTAATTATACTATTTTTACTTTTTACATATTAGCTAACATAAAGCAGTGTTACTCCGAGCCTATTTCATCACTTTCAACTGCAATAATGCTTTCAAAAACAGTTACTCCTTCTCCAAGTCCAATGTCATCAAGTATAGATCTAACTTCCTTATCTATTTTTACTACAGTTTCATCTTCTCTTTAGTTTATAAATCTGGTTCTATTCAAACTTTAATGGACTGCACTGCAGTTATTATTACTAGTACAGTATACAACACTGTAGATCTATACAGCACAGTAACAGTAACTCCATCAACAGTTAATGTTATTCCAATTGTTATTGTTACTATAGCAACAGTTATGATATTACTGATAGTAGTAATAATACTACTCATTTTCATGATACTTTTATGCTATAAAAGATCTGATATAGTAATTACTATTGCAATGACGATAAACATTGCGATAACATGATTTTTGTGTTTTTGCAGGCTGGAAATAGATCTTATAGATGTGCTTCAAATCAGAATGTCAGTGTACCACTTGAGTCCTGTCCTGCATATGATGATATTTCAAGAATGAATACTGCAAACTGTGAAGCATATGGCAAAAGAGATACATTTATGACTGCAGAATATGAAACTGTAAATATTAATTAGCTTTGATTGTCTTAATAATAATTAATAAATTAATGTAGATAACAGTTTACGCCTACTAATAATTATTATACCGATTACCGAGCTTTATTTTTCTTGTTGTAAAGATTACTGAAGAAAGGCTGTGAAGAAAGACTATTAGATCTATATCGATGTTAAAGATGTCCCTTACTCCGTTACTGTCCTTATTATTTGTCTGCTTCAGTCTCCTCTTTTATTCAGTGGATTCTTGTTCAACAGTATCTAGATCAGGTGTATCACTAACTGGAGTATGTCCTAATGATACTTTTATCATTGTACCCATTGGAACAACACTAACTTATGAGTGCTCTTACAATAACCTTGGTAGTGGATATCGACCATATCGGAATAATCAGTGGAAGTATTTACCATAATGCTTTTGGTATTGAACCACCTGTTACTAATCTAGCTGTTAGCCTCACTGAATCTGTTCTAACTATTACCACTAATAAAAATCACACAATGTTAGATATTCAATGTGGAGTGTGTCAGTACGCACTTGCAGAATGTTATTCAACAGAATTTATTGGAACAGGATCAGTTCAACTGACTGCCTTTGGTATATAGACATTATTTTAGTATAATCAATAACTGTCTCTCTTTCAGGTCCTCCTTCTTCATTATCCCACGAGTTAAGAGAGAATGATACTGTCAAGTTGTCATGGTTACCTCCTCTAGTAGAAGCCGTATTCACATATAATATAATAATAATGGAGTCAACTAATAATTCACTGACAGTAACTAATATAAACATTACCAACAATACATATGTAATAATATCACCAAGGGACATAGTGCAGTATACTCAATGTAAGGAGTATCAGTGGGGGGTGAGAGCAGCTGGTAGTAATGTCAGTCTATATGGATTTACTAATATAACAATGGCAGATACCAACTTTACCATTATATCAGGTAATGGTAACTTTATTAGTATTAGTATTATTTTTATGTAGCTCCCTTTGTTCCTGATGAATTGATCATTTTTGTAAATGACAGTACTTCTTACAGTCTTCATTTTAACGTAAGTACATGTAAATAGAATTTAATATTTCCTCTAATATTGATATTACTAGGTATCTTTACCGTGTGACTATAACGACTTGTTTAATAACTATACTTACACGCTGTTGCAAAGAGATTACTGCAAACGAGAGATTAATTCGTCATTGATTGAGATCACATCCGAACAAATTGATGATAATGATGGATCGACTGTATCAATCAGTGTTAACATTGAATCATTGATACATAACTCAACATGGTCTGTGGCTGTTAGTGTATCAAACAGGTTTGGTTCTGATACTACAGATTATACTAATATCACAAGTAATTCAGGTAAATTAACATTTTATTTATTATTGTTGTTGTTGTTACTTGTTCTTTTGTTAGATGATGGTCCAGTTATTAATTGCCAGTCTGATCTTTTGATGTCTTCTACCATACTATCATCAGAGACGACATCAGGTAATTGGATATTTTTATTTTATATATCTTTTATTATTATTATTACATCTTCCCCAGCAATGTCTTCTACTACTGTATTCTCTATGTTCCCAACATCACCTTTACCTTCTCTACCTTCTCTTACTTCTCAAGCTGTTGCCACTGAAACTCCCACACTTGGTAAGTGGTACAAAGTGTTTCACTATTATGGCAAAGCAATTTCTTTCTCTCTCTCCTTTCTGTCTCTAAGGAACTAGTGATCCAAATGAATCCAATTCTTCACAGATAGTTGGTCCAGTAGTTGGTATACTAGTAGCAATATTGCTATTAGTAGTAGCAGTGATAGTGATAGTGATAGTAGCAGTTATCCTGTACAAAAGAAAAAGGAATGATGATGGAGGTAGTAAAAGCAAAGGAAATAATTAGAGTCAAGAGAGAGATTTTGTTTTTGTATTTTTGTTTCATTTTGTAGCTGTAAAAGGCAAACCTGAAACCAATGGCGCTCAGTGAGTTGAACTGAAATAACAATAATAATAATTGATTAATGTTATCATTCTAGGGGGAGGAATGGTAATGGAGACTCTAACAATATGGGGGTAAGGGAGAGATAAGGAGACTGTCACTCTTATTTCATCATCTTTCTCAGGCTCATTCTTCTACTAATGATACTAATGGTGAATCAATGGTTAATGATGGCTACCAGAGTCGACAATACCCGGTAAGGGACATACATGTAGACTCACACCTTTATACTTAAATGGCCGGTCCTATGCATTCAATAAACTCAATAATAATATCTAATCAATGAGGGCGCTACTATAGCTTAGTATACAGCTGGAATATAGTAATACAGCTGGAATATACACCTGTTTCTTGTATAGTCTAATCACATTGAACTGTATTGTATTGTATTGTTTGTATTATTTGTTCATACTATCTTCCTATCTCTCTTCCTCCTGTTTACTGTTATGCTACACTGTCTTGCTTACATGTCCTTAGTGTCTCAGCCAACACCAACCAACCCTGCCATTGTTTATTTTTGTCATCTTGAAACTTTAAAGGTTAATCTCAGTCCCACTCTCTGCCTCGCCTCCAGTTTGTTTTTATAACTGTTATATTACTGGTATATTATTGTTTGTTTATATTATGTCATGTTAATGTATTGTCTTTCACTCTGGCATATTATTGCTTATGCCTAATACTACTACTAATATTACTATTTTGATATTCTTTATTCTAATTTAGACAAAATGTTAGAGAAATTAGCCAAATAATCTCTGAGCATTACAATTCAACACAATGAGCTCCCCTCAACACCCAAACAATGGCCTAGAACACACACACATACAACTAATGAAACACTTGTTCATTATATTCTATAGTATTGTATATATTGTTCATTATGATTCTATACTATACAATTCAAAGAAATGTAGTCATGTGATATGGGTACTATTATAGACTGTGTAGTAGTACAGGGACTGGCAGAATAATGTGTTGATTTGTGAAATATGACTGGCAAGTCTAGCTGTCATTTGCTAATAGAGAGAGTGAGGAAGAGGAGGGCAGTTTATGAATTTGGTATTGTTGAATATTTGTAGTAACTAAAAATGCAATAACAGAGTTCTATCTAGGAATTTTTGTTTGGGGAGGAAGCCCAGAGCAGTTGACCAGGGGGGGAAGGTTGTGTACATACATGTGTATGTACATGTGCAGTACATGCATGCAGTTACAGAAGTACACAGGGGGGAAGCTTGAAGTTTTGGGGGGGAAGATAAAGAGTTTGGGGGAGAAGCTTCCCTCCCACCCCCTCCCCCCCACTGGATAGAACCCTGATAATATTATCATTTTAGAATAATTATAATTTACAACATGCATAATGTATCTGCATATGCCTATGTACACATTCCTTCTTATATGTCCTTGATCTCTCCTTTGTGACATTGGATTATTGTTACTCCCATATTAACATTTGTTATGTTTATGTCCCTATTCCTCTCTTGAGGTTTGCGTTATGTTCTATCCTAATCTACCAATGATACTAATAGTATCACAATGTTAATAATGTTCCCTACACTGTAGAAGTGTTGTTGTGGGTCAGTATATTAATGAACATATGTACTTACTCTTGTACCTCTACAAGTTATGACATCTGTTTTCTCTCTCTCTCTCTCTCTCTCTCTCTCTCTCTCTCTCTCTCTCTCTCTCTCTCTCTCTCTCTCTCTCTCCCCCTTTTAGTCCCCTGGTAATCCAGGTCCCCAGTCTCCTACTGATCCTCACTCCAATAAGAATAATAACAATATATATGACAAGCTTGGTGCTCTAGAGTCTAGCAATACTTATGAGCAGCCTGATGCTGTTGAACTTCATTTAGGTTCTATTGCATCTCCTGACCCAATGTATCAGGAACCAGGGACTCTAATGCCTCCTTCTACTCCTGGCGGTCGCTCAAGATCAAAATCACCATCTCATCTGAATTCATTGTACTCAGAACCACTTGACTCAGCTCAGGTAACACACATATTGGTCACATGGTAGGGTTTCCCATAATATAGTGTTCAGGTTCTTAGCATCTCATGATGGTGTACTGTGTACATTGCTCAGTAGAGCTTTGTAGAACAATCCTGAGCCATGGTATATTGTCAAAAATGACTAGGAGAAAATTCTGCATTTTTAATAATTTTTTTTGATACATATACATGTATTTATGATGTTTATCAAGCTTGAGCTGATTCAGATCAAAATTGGATTTTTTTACAAATTTTTTAAGTTACTCAAAAATTGGACAAAAAGTCCCTGTACTATAGTACAGGGTCGTTGGCCAATTTTTGTCAAAAATGACTAGGAGAAAATTCTGCATTTTAATAATTTTTCTGATACATATACATGTTTTTATGTTGCATATCAAGTTTGAGCTAATTCCAATTAAAATTGAATTTTTTACGAATTTTTAAAGTTACTAAAAAATTGGACAAAAGTCCCTGTACTATAGTACAGGGTCGTTGGCCAATTTTTTTCAAAAATGACTACGAGAAAATTCCACATTTTAATAATTTTTTCTGATACATATACATGTTTTTATGTTGCATATCAAGTTTGAGCTAATTCTAATTAAAATTGAATTTTTTACGAATTTTCAAAGTTACTCAAAAATCGGACAAAAGTCCCTGTACTATAGTACGGGGTCATTGGCCAAATTTCATCAAAATTGACTCGTAGAGAATTCTGCATTTTAATAATTTTTCCTGATACATATACATCTTCTGGTGCTGTATATCTATCTGCATGTAGTTTGAGCACATTTCAATTAAAACTGGATTTTAAACTTGCAGCACTTTTCAGCTCATGAAGCGTCCTGTTCAAGCATACTTTATCAGAAACCCTGGTCACATGATATATACCATTATTTTTGTGTTAAAATGTAATTGTCACACAAACACTAATAAATAATTAATACTAAATTTTTGCAATTGGAGGATGCATTGAAAAATTTCTGAAGATTTTACTATGAAAATGATTGAGCCAGTACATGTATATACTGTCACATATTACTTGTCACTCTTCTCTTTAGGCAACCCCCATAAGGTCTCGCTGCTCTATTACTCCTCAGAGGTTTGACTCTCAGCCAGCAATGGACTCTGGTCTGGTTGATATGCCTGGATACACTGAAATACCAGCTAACAATAGAAAGGTATTATTTGTATTGTTAAAACTTCGATTAACCATGCCCGCTTTAGAGTACTATTAGTAAAAGAAAATCGGAAATTCGTAGCCCAAGCGTAAGAAATAAATAAAATAATACTTTCCTCTCATTCCTCTTTTTATTTCATCTCTTGATTTCTCTTTCAGGTTCCATTACCTCCTACTCCTGTTGAAGAAGAGGTAATGAAGAACCGATTAGCTCTATTATTATTATTATTATGTTATTTTAATAGGCACAGCATCAGTATGCTGATATGGGAGAAATAAGAAAAAATAAAGTAAATAATAATTATTGTGTTTCACTCACTTTATTAGTATACAATGTACTGCTAATGTACAAATTAATAAACAACAAGTCATTATTTTCTTTTGCAATTATATCAATATTAAATGAATGCTTTATTTGCAGTGATCATCAACACATGATGATGATATAATGCATAAAGTTGACTGTGTTTTTGTGCTTGTACTGAACCCAATTGAGTTATTTCCTTGTGCTATATTTATGCTTTACACTATTAATTATATAAATAGACTTTACTCTAATATTTTTATGTATGAATTATAGGTTATAGCTCCACCCATTGTAATTAATGATGATGTCATATATGCTGACGTGACTAGTGTATCATGAGCTTGAGAGACTTGACTGTCATCTTTTCCTTCATTCTTCTCTTTTATCTTACAATAACATACTGTATATAGCTTTGTGTTTAAATTATTGTGTTTAATATTATGTGTCTCTTTCTCTCTGACTATGGTCAGTGTCGTGTCTGTTAGTGTATCATTGTATTTATCCAAGTCCATTGTAGCTCCTTTGGAAGTACTGTCTTCAAACTCTTCATTAATTGCTCTTTTACTCATTCTGCAAATGCACTTTTATTCTGAAATATTAGCAGTGTGTTATTGCGTTTTTCACCTTACTCCGGAGAAATCACCTTTAAAACAGATCCTGGGCTAGTTGGAGTCTCTAAACTGTCAGTGTTTCTTCATTCTGGTAATGCTGACTTTGATATTCAGTGCCAATTATGTGATTTTATGGCCGCATCTTCATGTAATGATAATACACCTGCTCAAGATTTTATTGCAGCTACTGATCCAGTTCAAGGGTTTGCTTTTGGTAAGTAGAATAAAATTAATGGCTCGTATTAATAGTCATTGTTACACCTGTACTTCATCACAACAACTTAGCCTTAGGCCCTCCTTTGTCATTATCCCATGATCATGAGTTAGCGGTGCTGTTAGGTTGTCATGGTCACCTCCTTCAGTTGAAGTTGTAGGCCTATCTTCATTCACATACAATATTGTAATAATGGAGTCAACAAATAATTCTCTGATGGTAACTAATCTAAATGTTACTAAAGATACATATGTGATAATATTACTGGCTAATATAACTAATTACCTATATACTGAATGTACTTCATATCAATGGGGAGTAAGAGCAGCTGGTAGTATAAGTTATGGATTTACTAATGTAACAATGGAAAATGAAATTTTCATTATCATTTCAAGTACGGAAATACATTATTGGGTCAAAAAATTGTAGTATTATTTTATAGCTCCTGAATTATCTGATGAATTGATTGTTATTGATGATAATTTTCAATGTAAGCACAGCTGAAATTAATTTATTATTATTATTAAATAGGTTACAACTCCATGTTACGTATACTTTACTACAAAAAGACTACTGTCAAACAGAACTCAATTCATCACAACTCAATATTAGTATACCACTTGATGATAATGTTCTACCTAACCGACAATGATACCAATCAGTGTAACATTGAATCATTGATTCATGATTTAACGTGGTCTGTAGCTGTTAATGTATCAAACAGGTTTGGTTCAGATACTACAGATTATACTAACATTACTAATAATTCAGGTATAAATGTAAAATTAGTGTCAATTCTTATTAGTTAGTTTATTTTATAGAAATTATTCAGAACTGCAATTCAATGATCTCTTCATCAGTATCACAAGAATCATCATCAAATATTTTATCTAGTCTAATCACATGTAGGTCAAACTAACTCTTTTCTCTTTCTCTCCCCCAGGGAGAGAAAGAGAAAAGAGTTTGAGACTCCTCCCTCCATTTTTGCATGTTTTTCATGCATTCTACAGTAACATGAGAATGTAACGTTGTCATTCTTTTTTGGTCAGATACTGTTTTTCCCATCTCCACCTCATCATTTTCCTTTCCTACTCCTTATGATGCAGAGACTTCTTTTCAGATCCAACTGGTAATGTACACATGTAAAGGTTGTATTCATAATGCAATTGGATTGAAGGCACACATCTCACAGACAACTGGGCAAAATTAATTAATTTAAAACATTGGCCTGCTGATTGTATTCTGAATTTTTAATTCTCTTTCTTTTTGCAGGATCCACTGCCTCTTGCTCCCAATGATGAAACTGAGGTAATCATGATTGTTGTTGTTCTTGTTGTTATCATTGTTATTGTTATTATTTTCATTATTATTATTGTTGGTTATTATTGATAGGCAACACCTGATTCCCAGTTAGCAACACACCAGTATGCCGATTTAGATGAAATAAGATCAAGGAAGGTACTACTACTACTAAACACACACACATACTCCCAAAGACCAGTCATGTACACACACACACACACACACACACACACACACACACACACACACACACACACACACACGTGCACATGCCTAAAACCAGCATTTATCTTATACCAATCATGCACATGTAATTGTATAATCATGCTTTCAAGTTTGTTATTATTATATTTTCATTTGTACGTACAGGGACATGCTCCTCCACCCACTGTTCTTGATGATGTTAAGTATATTCACAATAAAATTAATATAGTTGCCATATAATTGTCTTCATCAATCATTTCATAAAATGCCCTTAAGCATTGATTGATTGTATTAAATAAACATTTATTTTAGACATTATATTTTAATCAAATAATTATTTATAATAATCACACGCAAAAGTAATGAGAGCAATAATGACAGTGAAAAACAGTGATGATCAATCTGTATTGTAAAAATAATGTTATTTAAAATGAATAAAAAATAATTTTAATAATTTTTGTTTTCAAATGTCATGGTAGAAGTTGGTTATACACCTCGGTATCGGTTTCTATGGCATTAATTTATTAACCTCGTGACTGTGTTGCTCAGTTAATAAATCCCATAGAAACCTCTACCTCAGTGTATAGCCTATAATTATAACTAACCTATGGCCACTGCAATGAATAAGTAGGGGGGAAGTGGTGTAAAAAAGTAAAATACATGACATAAGAATGATGATGTATGTAAAAAAATTATTGCATTTCAGTCTCTTCATGCAAGCAATTTTCTTATTTCTTTTCTATAAAGATAAAAAATGGAAATACTAATTATGCTGTAGACTTACTACAAGTTGTAGTACATGACCTTTAAAAAGAATCCAGGATCAATAAATAATGGCAACAGAGTACATTTTAATTATAAACAAACACATTATTGTATATCTATCCTGAAACCGACTATAGCTAATTGAATTAATAAACATTATCTAATGTTGACGCAAACATTACTTTAACGCCCACGCAAAACCAGTCGGCCACACCGCTATTTTTAATGAAGCTCGAAATGAAGCCTCTGTTGTTGCTGTGCCTCCTCTTTTATTCAGTGGATTCTTGTTCAACAGTATCTAGATCAGGTGTATCACTAACTGGAATATGTCCTAATGATGCTTTTACTGTACCTGTTGGAGCAACACTGTCTTATGAGTGCTCTCACATGAACCTTGGTGGTCAATATCTACAATATTGGAATATCAGTGGAAGTATTCACAATGTTTTTAGTTTTGAACCACCTGTTACTGGTATAACTGTTAGTGGTGTTCTAACTATTACCACTAATGAGAATCACACTATCATAGATATTCAATGTGGAGTGTGTCAGTTAGCAGAATGTTATTCAACAAAGTTTATTGGAACAGAACCAGTTCAACTGATTGCCTTTGGTATATACATAGACATTATTATTTCAGTATTAGTATAATCAAGACTGTCTTTCCCTTTCAGGTCCTTCTTCTTCATTATCCCACGAATTAAGAGAGAATGATATTGTCAAGTTGTCATGGTTACCCCCTCTAGTAGGAGCTGTATCACTATTCACATATAATATAATAATAATGGAGTCAACTAATAATTCACTGACAGTAACTGATATTAACATTACTAATAATACATATGTGATAATATTACTGGCTAATATAACTAATTATACTGAATGTACTTCATATCAATGGGGAGTAAGAGCAGCTACTAATTTAAGTTATGGATTTACTGATTTTAACAATGCAACTGAAACTTTCATTTTCAATTCAAGTAATTTATCTTTGCATTTTACACTTTTTATATTAATTTTTAGATGACACTTATTGTCACTCTGCAATCCCTGTTTCTTCACCGTCAACTGATATGCATTTGATACTTTTGGAAACAATTACTTTAGGTCTAGCATCATCAAGTAATAAGTATCTCTCCTATCATTTTGTATTTTTATTAATTTCTGGTTATCATAGTTAAACCTAGTTTTACCATTAAAACTTCAACGGACTGCACAGCAGTTATTATCACTAGTACAGTATACAACACAGTAACAGTAACTCCATTGACTAATGTCACAGTGACAGTAGCTCCATCAACAGCAAGATCAACAGTTAATGTCATTCCAATTGTTATTGGTACTACAGCAACTGTTGTGATACTACTGATAGTAGTAATAATACTACTCATTTTCATGATACTTTTGAGCTATAGGAGATCTGATATAGTAATTACTATTGTAATGACAATAAACATTGTGATAACAGGATTTTGTGTTTTTATTGCAGGCTAGAAATAGATGTACTTCAAATCAGAATGTCACTGTGCCACTTGAGGCCTGTCCTGCATATGATGATATTTCAAGAATGAATACTGCAAACTGTGAAGCATATGGCAAAAGAGATACATTTATAACTGCAGAATATGAAACTGTAAATGTTAATTAGCTAATTTTTAATTTAATTGTCAATAATAATTAATTCAATTATTTAATGCTGAGGAGGGTGTTGCAGCAGATTTCTGCAACATTTTAGGTAGTGGAAGATAGAAACTATTTATGGAAAAGCTCATCTCCTTGAAAGATGGTCCGGACAGTGGACAAACCAGACCTTAGTCTCGCAGGGTCTGACTAGCTCGGTGAGCAGTGCCTAGACCCTCCTCCTTTACTGTAACTAGATCTACACGTGAGCTCACATGTTTAGTTTAGAATAAATGGAACCGGTCGCTGGATATGCTCCGTATCTATTCTGCTAGCGGCAAAAGAATGGTGCTGCTTAAGTTTATAGTGCTATTTCTTGGTATCCTCGTATATTCAGTGGATTCTTGTTCAACAGTATCTAGATCAGGTGTATCACTAACTGGAGTATGTCCTAATGATACTTTTACTGTACCCATTGGAACAACACTGACTTATAACTGCTCTGCCAGCAGTTTTACTTCTGGATACCAACCTTATTGGAATATCAGTGGAATTAGTTACGCACCTTTTGATCCTACACCACCTAGTGTAACAATAGATACGAATATTCCTGATTCTTTATCATTTTTACATATCACCATTAATGTCACTCAATTGTTGGATATTCAATGTAGATTGTGCATGAATTCTAACTGCTTCGGAAATGACTCAACTAAACTGATCGTCTTTGGTACATATTCTAATTATTGCCAGTAACTGTCTCTCTTTTTATTTAGGTCCTCCTTCTTCACTATCTCACGAGTTAAGAGAGAATGCTAAGCTGTCATGGTCAGCCCCTTCTCTCCCTCCTTCAGTAAATGAAGATGATGTATCATTCACTTATAATATAATAATAATGGGGTCAACTAATAATTCACTGACAGTAACTGATATAAACATTACTAACAATACATATGTCATAATATCACCTGCTAATATAACTAATTATACTGAATGTACTTCATATCAGTGGGGGGTAAGAGCAGCTGCTGATTTAAGTTATGGATTCACTGATTTTGAAAATAAAACTGAAAGCTTTACATTCACATCAGGTTTGTTACTGTTTCAATATTCTTTTCATTGTCTTTCTTATAGCTCCTAACATAACTGATGCAACGGTGACTGGTAGCATTTCTTCAATTATATTTGAACTGATATTTAGTGTAAGTCAGTGTCAATAGAACTAATTATTAATAATCTCATTATAGACTTCTGTGGAAGATGCATATACATATACTCTACATCAAAGAGATTATTGTGAAAATCAACTCAATTCATCTGAAATCAATAATACACTGATCAGTAGAATCAATAACACCATGGTATCAATCAATATTCAATCATTAATAGAGGATGAAACATGGTCAGTGTCAGTTGAAGTAGCTGTTTGTCAATATAATGATACTACACAATATATAAACATTACTAATGGCAGTGATACAGGTACATTGTATAATGAAGCACTAACTTTCATTATTTATGTTTCTGTATTCCTTAGATAGAATATTAGATTGCAAGTCAGATTCATTGGTGTCTTCAACAGCAATAACATCACTAACACTATTACCATGTACTATAATTATATAAATCATGCTGTGTAATATTATAGTTCACTATTATTATTTTTATAGCTATTTCATCAATGGAACACACCTCATTCTTTGTTTCTCCCTCCTTCCCCTCTTCATCTGTCACTAATACACCGTCTGGTACATGTAACCTTATATCATTGTTTTATTTGTTGTTTGTTTTTCTCATCTCAGGAACCCCAGTTAGTGGTAAAAGTATAAATATCATAATAGGAGGAGTAACTGGAGGAGTAATTGGAGGAATAGTAGTGTTGATATTAATTGTTGCAGTATTGACTGCATGTAAAATAAAGAAGAAAGGATCTTTCACACACAAAAAATAAAAGAGAGGATGAAGGTGAAGGAGAGGGAGAGATTTGATAAGCAAAACAAGAGAGCATGCAATGTCACCTCACCTGTGTGTATATTTGAGTCTTGTGATATCTGATTATGTTTTTCTTTCTTGTAAGGTAATGGCGACAAAGTAGAGACCTTTAAGTAAGCAAAGCATTCAACCAATTAACTTTTATAATATTGCAGACTAGAGATT